ACAGGCTTTTAAGACCCCAGACGCTACTCACCAAGGTTGTTCTTGGATATTTTATATGAATTTTTCAGGGCAGAATGTACATAACTTTCATCAGATCATCAAAGAGGTTCATGTCCCAAATAAAGATTAAGAACCAAGGATCTGCATTATGAAAATAATCTAAATGTGCTTTTTATTGTATCTGCTATACTTGCTCATTATAGAAAATCAGAAAATGCAAATGAGCAAAAGATGCCCCTGGATGGTTTTAAAAAACAGTCAGCCTACTGGACCGGTAGAGACTAGAGAAACCCCCAAGACTGTTGCTCTAAGATAACATTTGAACTGGGAAATGAAGCTGTTTCTGGAGGTCACCTTTCAGCCAAATAATAGATAGGCTTATAAAATAAATAATATCACCCATGAGTAATGTGCTTCCTTAAACAATCAACTATATGAGACCAAGTGGTCAGCATTTACCCAAAGATGAAAAGGCATGGAGGGGAAGGGAAGCTAGATCAATGGAAACAAAACAAACAGAATGGAAATAATAAGAAGGCTGATGCATTGTGAAAATTGTAACCAATATCATGGAACAATTTGTATAGAAATTATTAAATGGGAACCTAATTTGCTGTGTAAACTTTCACCTAAAACACAATAAAACATTATTAAAAACAAATCTTAATTAGAGCCAGCTAAATGTTTTGACTTCAAGGAGATATGAAGGATTAAAAGGCAAAATAGAGCAACATGGGTAAGAAAGAAACAGGAAAAAAAAAGGAAATTAAAAAAAAAAAAACCATGGGGAACACAGAGGGAATGATAGAAAACACTTCTGAATCAGCTAGTCACCTGCTAACAAGCTGCAAAGATTTCCAGTGACAAGTTGTCGTATTAGTTTAGTGAGACTGCAACAGTGCTCGTCCCCTTTCCTGTGCCTCATCTCTCCCTGCCTGCCACAAAAACATGCTGCCACATTTAATAGGATTGTTTTCGTTCACTTTCTCCCTCCCCAAAATTCTGTTTTCGTTCTTGAATTCATCACTTTCCTGCAGTGCCCAGCAAAACCCAGCATGCATGGTTTTACCCCTTAGATTAAAGACTTTATTTGAATCTGAGGAAAGAAAAAAAAGGGAAATTCAATACATTTTATTCCCCTGGGAGCACCCTTCCTTTATTTTACCCTGGTTTATTTTAATAGGTAGGGAAATGTTGTTGTTAGGTGCGGTTGGGTCTGTTCCGACTCATAGCAACCCCATGTGACAGAGCATAATTGCCCCATAGGGTTTTTTCGGCTGTAATCTTTATTGGAGCAGATTGCCAGGTCTTTCTCCGTTGGAACCGCTGGGTGGGTTTCAACCAAAAACCTCTCAGTTAGCAGTTGAGCTACCAGGGCTCCTTAGGTATGGAAATAGATGGGTGTAATCCTTTTTCTTCAGTTCCAATGTTCTACTTCATAGAATTGTAAACTCACAGATCTGCAAAAAAGATCTTAGTCCAGCTTCCTCATTTAACAACACAGTAGAAAACCAAGGCCCCGACGTAAGGTCACGTGCTCAGGCCACACAGTATCAGTGTTGAGAGCAGGAGCTCCATTGTCTGTCACATCATCTGAATAAAGCTTTCACTGACTGCTTTCTTTTCTTGGAAAACTGAGAGACTTTGTTAGGAACATTGATGTCACCTGAGCCAAAACTGAGCACCTGTCCTTTGTTGGGTTCTGTCAGCATAATATTAATCTCCTAAATGGAATCCTTTCCCCGCTGGCTTTCCTTCAAAGAAAGGAATTTTATTTCCAAGTAGAAAATAAAGTTTCGTTACTGTCTTAGCCATGAAGTTATTCAAATAAACAAAAAGTAGAGCAGAGCACTGTAGTTGGTTTAAATGGTTGTCAGTGGTGTCACAGCTAGGGCTTTGGTGTAGCATCAGGAGCTTCCGCAGCTCGTGCTGGAGTTCTGAGAGCCTGAGAAAGCAGAGGAACATCAGAGAATTAGACTCAATCCATGCATGGGGCGGGGGAGGAACAGTGGAAATTAAGTTCTCTGCTAATTTTACAAATTTCTAGGAAAAAGGAGGGCCTGTAAACGTTATGAAAATAGGAGGAAAGCATTAGTTACAGGAATAGAAATAGGGAAGACTCAAGTACAAAAGATGAACAAGAATCTGTAAAATAGAGCTATGACAGTTAAGATTTTACATCACCTTTTACAGTGAGTGGCTCTTTGATAACACCATGCCACTTAGAGCTAAATGACTCAGAAGAGCTAATTCTGGGTGGGCAGAGACTCCCAAGACGGTTAGCTTGCCAGTAGCATAACTGCCTTTAATCAGCCACACACTGAGCATTCTTGTTCCACACAAAATGCTTTACAAGGCATCTGGCTTCAGCAGAAGAAAAGAAAATACCATTTAAAACCTGAGCTAAAATGCGTCCTTCAAGTGTCCTTCCTCATTTAGGTTTCTCCCTGGGATAAAAAAGAGGAAGCTAACCAGAAAAAGTTGGAATTTGCATTTGCAAACAGTGATTACCTGGCCCTTCTACAAGCGTATAAGGTAAGTCCATAATCTAATAATTGAGGCTTATTACCAGAATTGGAACTAAAGACAGAGTAAGTTCAGTTTGATTTTCTCCAAAATTTAGGGATGGCAGCTAAGTACAAAAGACAGTGTGCGTGCAAGCTATAATTACTGCAGACAAAACTTCTTGTCAGGAAGAGTTCTTCAGGTGAGTCCTTCTGTGGCAGTTTGTGTTCATTCATTGTCTGTTTAGTAGCTCACAGGAAGATGTTTCAACTTTGTCTGCCTCGCTTTACTTGTGCTTGTCTTGACATTGAAAACATTGTTTCTGGAATATGCTTGGCTTTACCAGTTGTGTACAGCAGACTCCTAGTGTATGCGATCAGGCCTTCTGTGCTGAATCTTTCAACTAACCCCATTTGTCCTCTTTCCAGTGAATTTGTGTCTACATGAAGGAAAGGCAATCTGAAGATTACTATTTACTGGAAGTCGGTTTTTTCTGTAATTCTACCAGGAATTCTTAACCTAGATCCATAAACCACTAAAATTGTATGCAAAATTTTATTATAAAATTGTATATTATACATATGCACATTATTCTGGAGAAGGGCTTATAGTTTCATCAGATATCAAAGGGGTCTATGACCATCCCCAGCCCCCTCACTTCTCCCCAAAACCAAAGAACTAAGAACTACCAAACCAGATTTTCTTCATTAATTTTTCTTATGTCCATCAGAAGCTACTGTATATCCAATAATGAGTACACGAGAAAGACAAAGGTTTATCATCTGTCTCATAATTGACAGGCCTTCTGTCCTCTGTTGTAACAATGTTTTAGATCCGCTTCCATACTGGTATGAGAAGCAGGATGGTGCAGAGATTTGCAAAGTACCTGTTTTACTCAAAGATTTTGGGGCTGCGGAGGGAGGACGACTTTATTTTCATATTAAAACATTGATACGCCATGGAGTAGAATGCAGAATTAATGTTCTTCTTAGTACTTACCACTACCTGACGTCTATCTCTCTGTTTTATAAGCTCCATCAGAGTAGAAACCTTATCTGTTTTGTTCTCCATTGCATCCCCAGTGCCTAGAACAGTGCTTAGCAGATAGTTGGTGGTTGGTAAAGATTCATTGAATAAATAATGAATGAGTGAATTTGGTTATTTAAGATGAAGTAATAGGACTACCCAGACCAACCCAATGAGAAAGCCCCAGGTGATTCATATGAATATTAAGGTTTCAGAAGCACTGATCTAAATTAAAGGAGCCCTGGTAGCACAGTGGTTAAAGCGCTCAGCTGCCAACCGAGAGGTTGGCAGTTCCAACCCGCCAGCCGCTCCACAGGAGAAAGATGTGGAGTCTGCTTCCGTAAAGATGGGGCAGTTCTACTATGAGTCTACTATGAGTCACAGTCAACTCAGTGGCAGTGGGTTTGGTTTGGGGTTTTTTGAGTCTGAATTAAATTACTTTATAAATTACTTCATATTAGTAAATTTTATGTATTGATATTTTTTAACAAAGTTGAAATAAGAGACCTCAAAACCATCCCAGGGTTTGCCTTCACTCTCCTCTGCCTTCAGGTGTACTGCAGTGAGACATGTTGAGAAGACAATGGCTGTAGCTTTATTCTAAGTCCATTGAAAGCAAGTTTTCAAGCCTGGCTGCACATTAGATTCACCTGGGGAGCCTTTTAAAAACGATAAAATGCCCAGGTCTTACCCCAGGCCAGTTAAGTCTGGATCTCTGGGGTGGGGCCTAGGCATCTAGTTGCTGCTGCTGCTGTTATTATTTTTGTTGTTGTTGGGTTCACCACGCGAGTCTAATATGCAGCCAGGGTTAAGAACCATTTGATCTCAAGTATTTTATATGTAAGGTGCAGTCATAAATATTTTTGCAAGTCATTAAGATGTTTAAGTACAATGAGAATATTTCTTCTAAATTACATTTCTTACTAAATGGATTTATTATTTTTATTCAGGATATATGTAGATTTTGTGCAATCTCTGAGGTCCATCAAACAGTTCCCTCTTTCCACTAAACTCCAGCTTAGATTATAGGATTTTTAAAACCTCAATAAATCTTTGTCATTAAATAAAAACTCTGGTATATCTAACTCCTGTTATAACCCGTTGCCATCGAGTCGATTCCAACTCATAGCAACCCTGTAGGACAGAGTAGAACTGCCCCATAGGGTTTCCAAGGAGCAGCTGGTGGATTCAAACTGCGGAGCTTTTGGTTAGCAGCTGAGCTCTTAACCACTGCGCCACCAGGGCTGCCATGTTATCCATGTGTATTTGAGACATTGCAACAAAACACTTAAATTGTTGTCGTGTGACAGGTAGTCTTGCTTTACGTTCCTTTGATTATCATTATCTCCTCTTGTGTCGTCTGATATGCAGTCTGTATTTGAACAGAAGCCAGAGGAGAAAGAGGTTTGTTCTCTTTCTCACATTTGTGCTCAGCAACAACAGAAAAAAAAACAAACCCACTGCCATCAGGTCAATTCCGACTCATAGCAACCCTATAGAACACAGTAGAACTGCCCAGTAGGGTTTCCAAAGTGGTAATCTTTATGGAAGCAGACTACCACATCTTTCTCCTGCAGAGCAGCTGGCAGGTTCAAACCACTGACCTTTAGGTTAGCAGCTGAGTGCTTAACCACTGCACCACCAGGGTTCCTCCAGCTACAAAAAAGGTGTTTAAGTCTAAACCACTTCATAATGTCCCTGTTCCAGGAAAAGGTGTGAGCCAGTGAGGACACAGGTGGGGGAGAGGGAGAGTTCTCCTGAGATGAGTGTTCTACATCCATTTGGGAGAGAGCACTCCCACGCTTGGCACAGGTGAGGAGCTGAGAGGACTTGGTGAGGAGCTGAGAAGACTTGGCAGAAATGCAAGTAGGAAAAACTAGGCAGTGTCTCTCAGCACTTTGAGTTAGGTTTCCAAACAAAATAAACTTAATTCCAAAAATTCCCAGGAAAATCCGACCAAGCCAAAATCTAATGAAAGCGTTAAGAAGTGTAAACTAGAGTTAAATAAAGGATTGAGTTTTCTGACATTTTTTAATTTCTACATAAATGTTTCACTCTGTCAGTTTGTATAAGTGAAAATTGCCTTTTTGGAAATGACCAGACGAGATAAGCTTAATACCTGTTTGATGGACCCATATGGGCCCCAGTGCTGTCCACTGTAAATATGTTTTTATAGTCACTCACTATTGTAAGACTCTACACTTACCTGCTTTGATATGTTGTTGCCCTCCCTTAGAGGTCTTTCCACTTCTTTCAGGAAATGGCCAGCCTCAAACGACAATTCACTGAACTGTTATCGGACATAGGGTTTGTGAAGGAAGGACTCAGAGCAAGGGAAATTGAGAAAAGGGCCCAAGGAGGAGATGGTGTGTTGGATGCCACAGGAGAAGAGGTAAAGAATGTGTCAGGAAAAAAAAAAAAAGTCATTGTGTTGATTCCAACTCCTGGCGGCCCTGTGTGTTGCAGAGTAGAACTGCTCCATAGGGTTTTCATGACTAGGGCCCTTCCGAAGCAGATCACCAGGCCTTTTTTGCAAGGTGCCTCTGGGTAGTTAGTCTTCTCTTTAATTAGCACATGAATAAAATATTAACTCAGGGACATTTGTAGGCATTCTTCTTCACATAAGCCCTGTGAGTAGTAGGTTGGTGGCATTCTTGATTTTCTTCTTTCCACAATAAGTGTCGGCTGACACTCATACAGCAAAAGGTCAGCGAAAAAGAGGAAGACCCTCGACGAGATGGATCGACACAGTGGCTGCAACAGTGGGTTCAAATATAACGACGATTATAAGGACAGCGCAGGACCAGGCAGTGTTTTGTTCTGTTGTACATAGGGTCGCTATGAGTCAGAACCTAACAACAACACTCATACAAACATAAGAGTTTTTCTGTTAATTTTTATTGTTTTTGATTTTTAAATGTCATTCTGGTTCTTGATAGATCCATGAGAGGTAGAATAAAGCCAAAAAAACCAAACCATCGAGTCGATTCTGACTCATAGAGACCCTATAGGACAAAGTAGAACTACCTGCCCAATAGGGTTTCCAAGGAGCGGCTGGTATATTTGAAGTGCTGAGCTCTTACCCACTGTGCCACCAGGGCTCCAAGAAGTAGAATAGACTTTCCATTAATGTATTCTCAGATCAACCCCGCCTTTTTACAGCCATGGACAGTGTTTTGTAAACTATAGGAAGAGCACTTCTTCAAGATGAACCCGACGCCCCTTTATTGTAAGTGCAATTAGTGCTTTATTTGTGAACATTTCATGAACCAGAATCTTTTCTCTCCACTGACCCTTAGGAACCCTAGTTTTGTAACTCCTTGGAGTGAGTCCTATGTGGATGTGGTCCAATAGGTTTGTTTTTTACTTAGAAAGAATTCATTGTTCCTAGCAAAAAGGTAGGAACCAGATTCCCTTTTTTTGTTTTGTTTAAGATAGAGATCAAATGAAATATAATGGCAAATTCCAGGGCACAGACAGAAATAGCCACATTACTTGGCAAAAGTACTTGTAAGATTAATGCTGTATTTCTTTCTTAGGCAAACTCAAATGCTGACAACCCCAAGCTGATATCAGCAATGCTGTGTGCTGCTCTGTATCCAAATGTAGTGCAGGTAACAAAACATTTTTCCTGACTCCTTCCACTTCTTGTTAACTTATAGCCAAGGAATATAAATTAAGACTTTAACATTGATCATCTGAAAGAGACATACATGCACAGGCATGCCAAGTTGTTACCTTGTAGCAACTCCTTAGTGCACATTGTCAGTCCTTCCATTCTCCAAAACCTGTTGTGATACACCTCGGAGATACTACGGGTTTGCTTCCAGATCACTGTAGTAAAGCGAATTTTGCAATAAAGCAAGTCATGAATTTTTTGGTTTCCCAGTGCATATAAAAGTTATGTTTACACTATACTGTAGTCTATTAAGCATGCAACAGCATTATGTCTAAAAAAACAATGTACATACCGTAATTAAAAAACACTTTGTTGCTAAAAATTTTACCATCTGAGCCTTCAGCAAGTCCTAAACTTTTTGCTGGTGGAAGGTCTTGCCTCGATGTTGATGGCAGCTGACTGATCACATGGTGGTTGCTGAAGGCTGGGGTGGCTGTGGCAATTTCTTAAAATAAGACAACATTGAAGTTTGCTGTATCGATTGACTCTTCTTTTCACAAAAGATTTCTCTGTAGCATGTGATGCTGTTTGATAGCATTTTACCCACAGTAGAACTTCTTTCAAAATTGGAGTCAGTTCTCTCAAACCCTGCCACTGCTTTATCAATTAAGTTTATGTAATAGTCTCAATCTTTTGTTATCATTTCAACAGTGTTCACAGCATCTTCACCAGGAGTAGATTCCATCTCAAGAAACCACTTTCTTTGCTCATCCGTAAGAAGCAACTGCTTATCTGTTGACATTGCAGCAGTTCAGTCACATCTTCGGGCTCCACTTCTAATTCTAGTTCTCTTGCCATTTCCACCACATCTGCAGTTACTTCCTCCGCTGAAGTCTTGAACCCCTCAAAGTCATCCGTAAGGGTTGGAATCAACTTCTTCCAAACTCCTGTTAATGTTGGTATTTTGACCTTCCATGAATCACTAATGTTATTAATGGCATCTAGAGTGGTGAATCCTTTCCTGAAAGTTTTCAGTTTACTTTGCCTGGATCCATCAGAGGAATTACTGTCTATGGCAGGTATAGCCTTATGAAATATGTTTCTTAAATAATAAGACTTGAAAGTCAAAATTACTCCTTGATCCACGGGCTGTAGAATGGATGTTGTGTTAGCAGGCATGAAAACAACATTAATCTCCTTGTACATCTCCATCAGAGCTCTTGGGTGACCAGATGCATTGTCAATGAGCAGTAATATTTTGAAAGGAATCGTTTTTTCTGAGTAGTACATCTCAGCAGTAGGCTTAAAATAGTCTGTAAACCATGTTGTAAACAGATGTGCTGTCATCCGGGCTTTGTTGTTCCGTTTATAGAGCACAGGCAGAGTCAATTTAGCATAATTCTTAAGGGCCTTAGGATTTTCAGAATGATACATGAGCTTTGGCTTCAACTTAAAGTCACCAGCTACATTAGCCCCTAACAAGAGAGTCAGCCTGTCCTTTGAAGCTTTGAAGCCAGGCGTTGACTTCTCCTCTCTAGCTATGAAAGTCCTAGATGGCATCTTCTTCCAATATAAGGCTGTTTCGTCTACATTGAAAATCTGTTGTTTAGTGTAGCTACTTTCATCAGTTATCTTAGGTAGATCTTCTGGATAACTTGCTGCAGTTTCTACATCAGCACTTGCTGCTTCACCTCGCCCTTTAATGTTATGGAGACAGCTTGTTTCCTTAAACCTCATGAACCAACCTCTGCTAGCTTCAAACTTTTCTTCTGCAGCTTCCTCACCTCTGTCAGCCTTCATAGAATTGAAGAGAGTTAGGGCCTTGCTCTGAATTAGGCTTTGGCTTAAGGGAATGGTTTGATCTTCTGTCCAGACCACTAAAACTTTCTTCACATCAGCAATAAGGCTATTTTGCTTTCTTACCATTCATGTGTTCAGTGGAGTAGCACTTTTAATTTCCTTCAAGAACTTTTTCTTTGCATTCACAACTTGGCTAACTGTTTGGCGCAAGAGGCCTAGCTTTTGGCCTGTCTCGGCTTTTGACATGCCTTCCTCACTAAGCTTAATCATTTCTAGCTTTTGATGTAAAATGAGAGACATGCGACTCTTCCTTTCTCTTGAACACTCAGAGGCTATTGTAGGGTTATTAATTGGCCTAATTTCAATATTGTCATCTCTCAGGGAATAGGAGGCCGAGGAAAGAGAAAGAGACGGGAATGGCCAGTCAGTGGAGAAGTCAGAACACAAACAACATTTATCGATTAAGTTTACCATCTTATATGGGCACGGTTTGTGACACCCCAAAACAATTACAATAGTAACATCAAAGATCACTGATCACATGTCACCATACCAGATGTAATAATAATGAAAAAGTTTGAAATATTTCAAGAATTACCAAAATGTGACACAGACACAAAGTGAGCACATGCTGTTGGATAAATGGTGCTGATAGACTTTCTCGATACAGAGTTGCCACAAACTTGCAATTTGTAAAAAACATAATATCTGCAAAGTGCAATAAAATGAGGTATGCCTATACATCATTCAGTAACACATGTATTATATAAAACAAAATGCCTTTGTAATCCTTCTGACATTTTATGACATCCCAGAAATTAAGATGGACATAAATGTCACTCTGTCAGCCAACCCGTGCATAACTAACCTGTGTTAGATGTGAGTTTTATTCTACTGCAGTTTCCCATTTCTCCTTATTCTCTCTACTTTGGACTATAATTAGATAAGAACAAATGACACAAATCAGTACTGTGGCCATCCTCTGGAGATCCTACCTGAGTGTGTTCTTAGACTTTTACCTGAGTTTTGATTAGCCAGTCCTAACAAATTATCCATTTCAAACTTCGAAAGAATTTGAATTTGGCAGAGTACTGAATCATTTCTCAAGGCCTTAACTTTTTGTTAAATTCTCGCTTAACATCTGCTGCTTAAATTATGGTTCATTTTCTGTGTAGCACTTGCATGCTTTTGAAACCATTTGAAATTTACCTTAAAAAATCATTTGGATATCGATTTGCTGGTTTTGATATGTAAAAAGTTATATAAGATGTTACCATTGGGGGAAGCTGGGGGAACGGTACAAGGGACTCTGTATATTTTTGCAGCTTCCTATGAGTCTATAATTATTTCAAAATAAAAAGTTTTTGAAAAATATAAAAAATGCCAGGGGGGAAAATAAATTGGGGGACTTAAAATGAAAACCATAAATGTGGTATAAGAAATTTTAGGTGAATAATAACATAATTTTGAGACTAAACCAAAAGTGAAAAGGTGAGAGATCTGGCTATGTGCTTAAGAACTCTTACAAATAGGACATGAGGGAACAGGTAGTAGATACATACAGAAATGCAGTGCTGTGTTACTACGGTGAAGAAATACAAGCTAAAACAACAAAGAAATACCTCTTTTTACTTTCCAAATAGGGCAAAAACATTTTTTTTAATTATAATACCTGTGCTATCATGAGCCTCAAAAAATGAACTCTCACTCTTGGTGGGAATATAAATGGATACACCCTTTCTATAGAGCACTTTCATTTCTAGGGATTTATTATTAGGAAATAATCACATATATGCAAAAAGATACAACTAGAAGAATGTTCATTTGAGCACTATAATTATAGACAATTTAAATTTCCAATAATAGGGAATTTATTGGTTTAATAAGTATAGACCCTTACAACAAGGGACCATACAGTCATTGAAAATTATGTTGTAGGAAAATATTCAACAACATGGAAAAATGCTATTAAAAAAGTAGGTTATAAAGAAGAGTGATCCTATTTGTTTGAATATGTATATATATTTTTATTTATAGTGTATGTTTATGGTTATCTTTATTTATATATATAAATATATATCTAGCAAAAAAAACTAAAATGATACTTATCAAACATTAAACTAGTTATTTCTTAATCATGGGATTACATTTTTATTTTCTTCTTTATTCCTAATATGTATTTTCTGCAGTAAACGTGTTTATTATCTTTAATATATATGTTATTCATATATACATGGAAGCTTTTATTATGTTTTCCAATGAAATCATCTGTTTATTCGTAGAATTTTTTTTATTGTGTTTTGAAAGAAATTTATTTGTAAATGTATTGAGGTTGAGATGGAGAGTCGGCAGAACCCTGGTCCAGTGTTGCCAGCTGGAGCTCTACATCTGACAATCAGTGCAGACCCAAGGTAGCAGCTAATTTCTCCTCCACACAGCTGGTGCGCAGCCTAGTTACCCAGAGCTGCTGCACTCATATCCACATTTTCTGGGTGGTAAAAATAAATGATGTGCCCATGTACTGTTTTCAAAGGGAACAAAGTGAGAAAACGGAGAAACAGCAATGTCCTTCAGAGTCTGATTTTGTACCAAGGGGCACTCCCATCGATGAAAATATGTATTATGTATCTATTTTTACAAATACCTATTGTTTAGGTGAAAAGCCCAGAAGGGAAATTTCAGAAGACCAGTATTGGAGCTGTCAGAATGAAACCAAAATCAGAAGAGTTAAAGTTTGTCACCAAGAATGATGGATATGTACACATTCACCCTTCATCAGTGAACTACCAGGTCAGAGTGGCGGTGTCTCTTTATGTTTGCATATGACAGGCCTTGACTACCTTAAATTCAGCCAAACTCTGTTCTGTCGCTTGCTGTCCCCAGCAGCGCCATCGACTTGGGGAAAGTTGAATAAATATAAGCAGACTGGACATTGGACTATTTCTAGAAAGACTACTTCTGTTTCAAGAAAATTCTACTCAGTGCAAAATAATGCTCAAGCCTACTTTCAAGTGCAAATTGTCTCTTTGCAGGGGTGGTTTGAGAAGTCATGATATAATTGCATCGCTGACTCTGTGCTTTTAAAAGGGAATGAGTGACCCTTATATGAAATAGCCTGAATAGGCAAATGTATAGAGACCAGAGTTTATTAGTGGTTACCAGGGGCAGGAGAGAGGATAGGAGGGGAGTCATTGTTTAGGAAGCAGTTGCTGTTTATTGTGATGGAATGTGGCAACAGATATTGATGATAGTTGCATGACATTGTAATGTAATTGATGTCACTAAATTGTACACATGCAAAACAATGAAATTGGCAATTATTTCATTATATAGTTTTACAGAAAAAAAAGGTGGGGGTGGGGGGAATGAATGACCTATACTTGCAGATCCCACTCTTCAACTTTCACTCTTCCTTCAGCCTACTGCTGTGATGCTTCTGCCCCCACCATCCACTAAACTGATCAAAGGTCACAGTCACCTCCTAGTAATTAAATCCAGTCAATATCTCCTGGTCCTTACCGTATGTACTTGACTTCCGTGTGGTGTTTGACGCTGCTGACCTCCCTTCCTTTTGAAACTGCTTCTGATGTTCTTTTTGCTTCAGGATTATCAGTTTCTTCTGCTGTCTCCCTGATTACCCTTCTCTATGTCCTTTGCTAGCTTCTCCTCCTTTGCCCTGAAGTAGTAGTCCTGTCCTGAGTCCTTATTTTCTCATTATAGTGTACCTATGCTTCAGGAGCCACCAAATGCACAGCATTGTGATTCCAGCTGTCACCTACACACTGGCACCAACCCCCAAATCTCAGTTTACAGACCTGGGGTTTGTCCTGAGCTTTCGTGCTGGAAATCATCAGCTGGATGCCTTCCAATCACCTCAAATTCGAAAGCTGAAAATCAAACTCATTGTCTCCCAATTCCCCCTTCCCTTCCTAGGCTTTTGTCTTGGTTAAAGGCACCATCAAAATCAGAACCCAGGAGTCACATAAACTCCTCCTCTTTTCCTCCTTACCCCAATCCAACTATTCACCAAGTCCCAGCAGTCCTACCTTCTTGACATCTCTCAGATTTGCCTACTCTTGTCTCCATTGCCACTTCCTCAGTTCATACCCCAAACATCTACCTCTTACCTGAAGTATAATAATAATCTTACTGCTGGTGTTTTCTCTCACCAGTCTTCTACACTGTTGCTGCCAGAATTATCTTTACAAAACATACATTTGACCATGTCATTCCCTTACTTAAAACTCTTCATATGTAGAGTGTACGACAAACTCTCTCACATGACCCTTCATGTTCTGGTCTTTTCCCATACCGTGCCCCCACAGCTCCACTCTGTCATTCTGTATGCTCTAGCCATACCAGACTACCAACAGTATCTCCAAATACCATGCCATTGGACGTGTTCTTCTCTCTGCCTGAAATGACATTCTTATTCCCCAGCAAGCTTTTACTTACCCTTCAAGCTTCCATTAAAAATCACTTTCTCAGTGCCCTCTCCCTCCAAGTTGCTCTTCCACTGTTCCACCATCATGTTGGATACATCTGTCCATTATTGCACTTATCACATTACTTTATGGTTTATGGTCTGTCTCCCTCATGGGATTGTGAAATCCCTGACAACAGGCATTGATTTTATTCATTTTTATATTATTGGTGCCTAGCATGGTGCCTCACTGAAAGCAGATGCTCAATAAAGCTTTTAGGGAAAATGGAGAAAAGGGGGAAAGGAGAATGAGGAAGAGAGAGTTCGCAGTGTTACGGCTGGTCAACCCCCTGGAACTGCTGGGTAAAGGATCAGCAAAGTATGAAAGGGATCTCCTTAAACTCAGAGGAATTTGAGGGCCATGAGGTCATTGGCTCTCTCTCAGCCGTGGGTACACTGAGGAACCAGATGCCTGGGTTAGCACCACTCTTCTGAGTTGACTGTGACAGAATCCAAATCATTCCTGTGTCCATTCACTATCTACTAGCACTCACTCCATGCCAGGCCCTGTTATAGGCCACGGAAGATTGAGGCTTAACTAGACAGACAAGATCTCTGCACTCAAAGAGCTTACGTTCTGGTGGGGAAGACAGGCAAGAAATATGTACACAAATAATCTCAGGTTAGCAACAACTGCTATGAAGAAAAATAAAGCAGCGTAGAGGGATAGAGACTGACAGGAGAAGGGCCCTTTTAGATAGGGTGGTCAGGGAGGAACTCTGAGGAGAAGACAATCCAGCAGATCCTAAATGAAGTGAAGGAACAGGCCATGCACATATCTAAGGAAAGGACATTTCAGCAGAGGAAACAAAGCATGAGGTAGGAGCATATCTGGTGCATTCTAGAAAGTACAAGAAGGCAGCCAACATCAGTGGAGCAGGGTGACTAGCAGCAACGGGGGACGAGATGCACTGGGACAAGCAGGCAGGGGTCAGGGCATGTGGGACATTGATGGCCATGGTAAGGATTTTAGATTTTACTCGTGGGCAGCCATTGGAGGATTTTGAACCATAGTTGGATATACGTTTCTAGAAAATCACTGGGTGCTGAGTGGAAAATAGACTGTAAAGATGCAAAAAACAGAAGCAGAGCAAGCACTTAGGAAGCATTGCAGTAGTCTCATGAGATGATGATGGTTTATACTAAGGTGGTAGCTGTAGAAGTGGTGAGAGTATGCCATTTCATTATGTATTTTAAAAATAGAGCTGATGAGACTTGGTGATGATATAGATGTTGTGAGGGAAGAAGAGCAGTCAAGGCTGACTGAAGTTTGGGGCTTAAGCAACTGGGTGACTGGGAGTGGCATTCACTCCCTGAGAGGGTAAGCACTGTGGAGAGGAGGGAGAATCAAGAATTCGTTTCGAACACGAGAAGTTTAAGATGCTTTCTAGATGTCCAAGTAGAGATGTCAAGGAGGTTGTTGCACATTATAAGTCTGGAGCTCAGGGGAAAGGAACAGGCTGCAGATGAAAGTTTGTGAGTCATTAATGTACCAAATGAAACCCACTGCCATCTAGCTGATTCGACTCATAGTGACCCTATAGGACAGGGTGGAAATGCTCCAAAGGGTTTCCAAGGCTGTAATCTTTACAAAAATAGATTGCCATGTCTTTCTCCCACAGAGCAGCTGGTGGGTTCAAACTGACGATCTTTAGTTAGCAGCCGAGCACTTCAACCACAGCACCACCAGGGCTCCTCCTTAATGCACAGGGGTATTTAAATCTATGGGACTGATGGAGTTCCACTTATGTTGCCAGTGACTTCCCTATTTTCACTTGAGGCTTTATGTTACAGGTCAAACACTTTGACAGTCCCTACCTAGTATACCACGAGAAGATCAAAACTAGCCGGGTGTTCATCCGAGACTGCAGCATGGTGTCTGTGTACCCTCTGGTCTTGTTTGGAGGAGGCCAAGTGAATGTGCAGCTTCAAAGGGGAGAGTTTGTGGTCTCCTTGGATGATGGCTGGATCCGTTTTGCAGCTGCCTCCCATCAGGTAAAGAGTGCCTTCTTGCACTTCCTGGAACACACCAGATACGCTCCTACCTCACAGTCTGTTTCCTCTCTGAAATGTTCTTTCCTTAGATACGTGTATGGCTTGCTCCTTCACTTCATTTAGGATCTGCTGGATTGTCTTCTCCTCAGAGAGCTCCTCCCTGACCGCGCTGTGAGACTCAGGCCACAGTGGGCTTTGATAATATAAAGCATAGGGCATTCCTTTAGGTGTCCAGGACAGCAGAGCTCATGGGCTAATTACGAATGGTGAGTCTTCAGTAGGAGACTAGGAAAGAGTAGGGCTGACGTGAGGCCCCACCCCTGACAGGAAGCACACTGGGAGGGGAGGCCCAGGGCACTTGGTGTGAAAGGTCTGGACAGAAGCTTTAAGGATAATGTTATACAAATACTACATGTTCACCAAGGAAAAATCAGAAAGTACAGATAAGCAAAAATAAATAAATAAAAATCACCCTGATTCCACTACCCTAAAAAACGGATGATGGGTATGAATTCTAGGATTCGTTTCCTGTCATTGTCAGGTCTCCATCATTCACTACGTGGAGTCCCTATGAACAGCATTTAAGGAGAGTATATGCTGAAGAAGGGAGCCTGGTGGCACAGTGGTTAAAGCGCTCAGCTGCTAATCAAAAGGTCAGCGGTTCAAACCCACCAGCTGCTTCATGGGAGAAAGATGTGGCAGTCTGCTTCCGTAAAGATTACAGCCTTGGAAACCCTATGGGGCAGTTGCACTTTGTCCTATAGGGTCGCTATGAGTCAGAATCGACTCGATGGCAACGGGTTTGGTTTTTTTGGTGTATGTTGCAGAAATAAAAATTCATCTTAACATTTTCATCTGTTAGAATGCTTACGTTGCAAGAAATAGAAACACTACCTTAAACATTAAAGGGAATTGATTAGCCTGTTTAACTGTAAAGATTAAAGTAGCGATGTCCAATAGAAATATAGTTGCAAGCCACGTTATGTAATTTTAAATTTTCTAGTAACTACATTTAAAAAAATTAAAAGAAACAGGTAAAATTAATTTCAATTAACTTATTCAACCTGGTACATTCAAAATGTTTTAATTTTAACACATAACCAATATAAAAAACTTACTGAGATATTTATATTCTCTTTTCATTCTAAGTCTTTAAAATGTGATGTGTATTTTATACTCACAGCACATGTCAGTGTGGACCAGCTACACTTCAGGTGCTCAACAGCCACGTTTGGCTGCTGTACTAGACAGTGCAGGTCAAGAAGGCCAGGCAGGGCTGGCATGATTCAGCAGCTCAATGACAGCAGACGACCTTGTGGGGGCAAGATGGTTGTAGTGGCTCCTGGCTTCATATCTGTGCAGCTCACTGCCCAGAAGGGGAGACAGAGCCCTCTTTCCTAAAAGCTCCATCAGATCTCCCTCCTAAATCAATTCCTGTGGCTGAGGGAGCATCATGGACCCATTACTAAGGCCTGGATTACCTGAGCCATTCACTCTGGCAAGAGGCTGTTTTAATTAGATCAGGGTCCAAACTGCATGGTTGGTGTACATTGGGGGAGGGTAGGCAGATGCTGGGAGGACATCCACAGGCCACTACACATCAGCATAAGCAAAACGCCGTTAAAGTGCAGAGCTCTTTCCCCTACAAAATCATAAACTGTGTCCCAAAATCAGAGAGATTTCATTTAATATCCACGTTTTTAATTTTTCACTTTCCTGCTTCTCTCTCAGAGCAGATGGTCCAAAAGTTGGCCTTAATATGGAGAACATAACTAAAAAGCCGTATTTGCAGATTTTCTCTTTTCCAGAAATATTATTGAGGAACTTATTTATAATGGACTCTGTTTAGTATATTACAGAGTGACCATTGAATGAGCATTCCTATAGTTGCATCAAGAAATCTTGGAAGCATTTTGAGACTGAGGAGCCCTGGTGGCACCATGGTTAAGAGCTATGGCTGCTAACCAAGAGGTCGGCAGTTTGAATCCACCAGCTGCTCCTTGGAAACCCTATGGGACAGTTCTACTCTGTCCTATAGGGTTGCCATGAGTTAAAATCAAACTCGATGGCAACAGGTTTAGTTTTGTTTTTAGACTGAAAATGTGTTTAGTTTTTTTCCCCTAATGTGGTTAAAGTTAATACCAGAAATCTAGAATAATAATCATAATCAGAGCATTTCCCTGTAATAACCTTTCCTTCCCTGTTGCCCCAAGTTCTGCTTATTTCCTGGCTTTCATATTAGGTGGCTGAATTAGTGAAGGAACTTCGTGGAGAACTTGACCAGCTCCTCCAGGATAAAATAAAAAACCCAAGCATAGATCTGTGTACCTGTCCTCGAGGATCCCGGATCATCAGCATGATTGTGAAGCTTGTCACCACACAGTAAAGGCCTGCCTTAGGGGAATGCTCGCTACTCACCTGCTTCTCGCTGGCCAGGGAAGTAACAGCGGCACCTCTACCTCCAACTAAAGACCTGTGCTGGGGCACAGTGCTGAGTCAGCCGAGGCACCATAGACCTGAGGGAAACTTTCAGACTCAGCATTTCTCACAAAGTAGTGGGCACTCCCAGCACAATTTGGAGTGTCAGGGGCGACAGCATCTAAAACCCAGCTTGCCTGTCTCTTTGTCTGTGACTGTCCTGGAGAGCAGGAAATTTATCAGTTAACACAAAAGTGAATGTTTAATACAATTCTGTTTTAATCTATGTGTTATTTTTCCCGTTTTTTACTGGAGTGACAGGGGCATGAGGGAAATACCTGTTGTTGTTTTTTTTGTCATAAAGGCTCAAGTGAGAGGAATCAGAATAGAGAAAGAAACTGGACCTTTCTGCAGACATGCAGGAAAAAAATCACGTGAGCAAGAAAAATAAAAATATCATCTTAGGCTGTTGATTGGCTACTGAGTAGACTTAATTTGTGAAGGATTTTTATTTTTACTCCTTAAAGATCAGCCTAAAAAAACAAACGTAATGAGTTCTGTTGTGGTTTTATAATGCGAGCTGGTCTCTTCTTAGAAGCAAGGCGATCTGGTGTCTTCATTCTCCTTAGTTTTCCATTTAGGTATCTTTACCCTCTCTTGCGGACTCACAATGGCCAGATTTCATATTACCCACAGGAAATTTTAATGGTATTCTCCAAGGCAGAGTTGGCTCGTTTGAGACAGGAAAGGTTATCATGCTAGTGTCAGATTTACAACCATAACAATGCCTCCCACGAGACAGCTTAGGTTAATGGGGCACTAGTATTTTGGGTGGCACAAGAAGTTAAGCGCTTGGCTGCTAGCCAAAAGTTTGGAGGTTTAAGTCCACCTTGAGGCACCTTAGAAGAAAGGCCTGGGCAATCTGCTTCCAAAAAATCAGCCATTGAAAACTCTATGGAGCATAGTTCTACTCTGACATACGTGAGGTCACCATTAATAGGAATCACCTAGACAGCAACTGGTTTGGGTTTTTTTGGTTTTAGCATTTTGGAAAAAATACTAATACATTTACATTTTCCCTGGACATTTATCAGTGTGGCTAGAAAGGATCCCAGAGAACAGAGTGGAGGAAATAGTCTTGTGTTTGTCTAGACCTCAGGTAGGGAGTCAGTATAGGTTTCCTACTATATCCAGACTGAATACAAATTGATCAACAAAACCGCCTCAGTGAAGGGTGTTAGCTTTCCGAAGTATTATTTTAGTTAAGTTTTCAGGAAATCTCGTAAAGTGTTTAAGCTTCAATATAGTCGAATAGCTTAGACTCTAAGCAGTATTTTTAAAAGGCATCAATTCGTGTCATTGCTTTAAATTAAAAAAAACGGACACACAGAGCATCCACCTCCTGACTTGCTACTGACACAAGGCTCACATCACAGAACTGATTAGGCTGGGACTTCTAGGAGAAATGAAGGAGAAAATGGCATTAACCCTCTAAAAGAGTTTTAAGAGTTTTGACTCTTGGTACTGCAGAGGAGCTCTCACTGCCCTTGCCAGAGCCATCTGCCCAAGGGGACCTGCAGCTTTAACCCAGGTCTGCAGCAGAACATATGGCTGGGAGGTGGTTAACAGCAAAACTTTAATCCAGAGTGCTAAAAAACTGCTCCCCTCCAGGAAGCCAGTTCTTGGGCTGGCTGCTTCTAGACACATACAAACGCACAAATACTATCATTTTATAGACATGCCAGAATGTGAAAAGGGCTGAAAGCCTTGATTTATGGCACTGAATATGAAGATCCACACCCACAAAACGAAACTTCTTCAGCTGATCATTAAAATTATGAAATAGGATTACTCCTTCGCAATTGAAGATCAGAATGTTGTCTAGCATTTCAAGATGAAACGATTTCTAAGCCCCAACAAGATGGTCAACATTTAATGTAATTTTATGGAGAGCTAAATGGTAAATTGTTTCTTAAAATTAAATATTCATTTTACTGCAATCTACCTAGGAAACAATAAAGTACTTACTACTAAATTAGTCTCCACTGCTGTTTTGTACGATGTCTAATCTCTGGAAGGTTCTCAAGAAATAAGAATAGAATCATTCTTATAGAAGTGGCCACAGGTTGACCATTTTGTCTTTTTCATCGTTAGTTCCATATCTGATTATTACAACTCAAATTCTCTGGCAAGTAATGAACTTTAGTCTTTATCCTTCCATTCCATTATCTGAGAGATCGAAAATAATATATCTAAGCACAGCATGTAATCTCTACGCTATGGTGTTACTTTTTTTTCTTTCTAGGCAAGGGTTTTAACATGTCCCTAAGACGTCATCATAAAATAAGGTCTTGTGAAAGTACTTCATAAAGTTAAAAACAGCAAATATCAGGCATTAGGACCAAGGATGTGCTCTTCAGATGCAGCCCAGGCTGCCTTTGTGGGGACTCTACTCTGTGTTGTGTTATCTGTTGCTTGGCCTAGAGGTGGTGAGCTTGGATTTCACACTCTGAGGGCATCTTGTGGGCGTCACCCAGCTGCCACATAAATAGTGGATTCCTGCCATTATTCTGCATGAATAAGCCTAGGCAGAGGCTGGCTCTCCCCCTTAATTATGTTGGAATTAAGCTTACTTCTTAGGGCTCCACCCTGCCCCCAATATGAGGGGGGAAACTTTGCTAATATCCTCAGCCAGTTAGTAAATACAAGGTTAGCTGTTGTTTTCAGAAGTTAGGTCTTCATTGTGAACCTGTGTCCAGGCAGTATTTGGGTGCTCACAGCAGAGTGCCCCAGGAGGAAACGACATGGAAACAGCTAATACCATTTGCTGTTCCACCTAGAGTTTCCAACTGCTCCAGAGTGATCTGCTTCCATGTCTTTTAGTCTCACAAATGCAAAACTATGCAATGACTAGTGAACAGTTAACCAGGATGATGTTAGTGACTGCTGACAGACTTTTTTCTTACCATTTTTAAGGTATCTATCATCCCCCAAATAATAAAGAGATTGGTTTTAAATAGGGTTTGTAGCCAATCACTAATCCTCAATGCGCTTTAAAAGCTTAGATGTTTTAATAATTTGTTTTATCAATGGTAGAAAAAGAGAGTTCTTTTGGAGAGTTACCTATGCCCTATATAAAAACCATCAGGAAGAAGTGGAATCTGTGTTTCATAAAGACATAGGACAGCAACTCAAATATGAACTTGTTCCCACAGGCAGTTCAGCCTCTTTGCCCTATCTGGCCAGCCCTGGGTCTGCTCGAGAGGCCAGTTCTAACCCAGCTAATTGAGTAAGTAAGCCAGGCCACAGTGCCACTGTGAGACAGCTATGACAAGGGAAGGTTTACAATCGATTAACTGGATTCTTGTCTTCACCTCTTATTTCAGCTTTTCATGAGAGAAACAAAAGGCAACAAAAACCACCGTGGGGTTTGAAATAGCAACTTCTAAAGGTGGCCTTGGAAATTCAGCCCAATCTCATAAATTTCTTACCCAACAGTGAGAATCACTGTTTAATGTACCTGACACTGAAAACACCATATTACTAAATATGGTGTAATAATTTATTTAATAAGCATTTTCAGCAGTAGCAGTTCCAATGTAAGGTTTGTTATTTCCTTATGTAAAATATGCAGTTACCTCTACTTTCTTAATGCTAGGTTTTACTGAAAATGGCCTGAAGGAGTTCATTTTGCTTCCAGGTTGAATGAATTTACACTCTAAAGAACAGAACTACCCATGGCTGAATTTTCTTCTACAATAATTAAAGATTGGACAACTTAGCCCAAAAAGACTCATTTACTTCCTGAGATTCCCCTTTTAATAAGTTTTGCCTCATTCAATACTTGGGTTTCAAATGTATTTTAACAATAGTGTTTGTTAACCTTTAAAATAAAACTTTATTTGTCCATAGAAGTTGATTAACAAATACCCTACCATGTACAAGGACTACAAAGAAGTTTCTTCACAGGAGAAAATGTAGTTTTTGTTTGTTTAAACCAGTGGTTCTTAACTGGGGGCGATTCTGCCCCACAGATAACTTGGCAACGGAGACATTGTTGGTTGACACAACTGGAGGTGGGGAGCCCTACTGGCATCTAATGGGTAGAGACCAGGGATGCTGCTAGACAATGTGTAGGACACCCCCTGCCACAAACAAAACATTATCTGGTCCACACAACTACCACAGCTTCCACCAGACTGAGTCCACTATAACTAGATGGTGCCCGGCTACCACCACTGACTGCTCTGACTGGGATCACAACAGAGGGTCCCGGACAGAGCTGCGGAAAAATGTAGAACAAAATTCTAACTCACAAAAAAAGACCAGACTTACTGGCCTGACAGACTGGAGAAACCGCGAGAGTTTATGGCCCCCAGACACCCTTTTAGCTCAGTAATGAAGTCACTCCCGAAGTTCACCCTTCACCAGAGATTAGACAGCCCCATAAAACAAGAGAGTAATGGGGTACAACAGTCCAGGAACAAGGACTAGAAGGCAGGAGGGGACAGGAAAGCTGGTAATAGGGACCCCAAGGTTGAGAAGGGACAGTATTGACATGTTGTGGGGTTGTTAACCATTGTCATAAAACAATATGTGTACTAACTCTTTAATGGAAACTATTTTGTAAATCTACATCTAAAGTACAATAAAAAATAAAAAAACATTATCTGGTCCAAAGTCAGTAGCAGAGGTATTATCAACATGATGCTATAGACAGAAGCACCATGCCATCCCTCTACAGCAAAGACCCGAAAAACTAAGTAAAACAGACACAAACATCAATTCTGGAATCCTAAGCATCAAATGAAAGGATAAAGAACTTGATCAAGCACCAAATGGAATAAGAAACTAACAGAGAACAGAGAATGAGGAAAGCTATGGCGTGGAGGTCCCCTACCAGCTAACATGGCATGGATTCGCCATCTTGGACCTTAGCCACTAAGAAATGCAGACAGGGATTACAGGAAGGCAACTCCATGAAATTCCCAACAGGAGACAGAGCACCTGGTAACCAGTGATACACACTTTCCCAACCCTTACCCTTCTTCCCTGTACAAGGCCTCCACTGCTTTCCAACAGGCCATGGTCACTCAGCCAGAGAAATACCAGCTCCTTGCTGCCCAGATGCACCCACCCCCACCAGCCAGCTCCTTCAGAGCCGTTTTGTTTTGTTTTTTGGCTTTTGTTGTTTCTTCCCTCTCATTCTTTCCTTTCCTTTCCCCGGCCCAGCTAGCACCATGTGCCATCTGGCCTCTTCTTGACAGGCTGTTCCCCACTGCTCAACTAGAAAGTTAGTCAGCTAGAGAGTCACTAGCACACGGCCTTGCTAGGTCTGCCCCGCCCCCACCCGCTGAATCCTACCAAGCCACTATTTCATTCATTTTTTGTTTTATTCTTTTTTCCCTCATTTTTTTCTTTGTTCCTTTTTTTGCTTCTGTTTCTCTCTCTTCTTTCTCTCACCCACGTAGCTTCACCCATCAAATCCTCTCCCCTCTCTCCTGCCTATCTGTACCATACACTGATTGCTGCACCCCCAAGCAGCACAGGTGTGGACCACCAGACACTGCCCCACACTGCCCCCTGGTCGCACCCTGCTGGCCCCAGTATGTGCCACAAACAACCCATCCCCACCCCCTGCTGGACCTGCCCTGCTGAACCATAGTTGAGTGACTGGCCCTGTCCACCTGGACAAGGTGGTGAGAAGTATCATGCCCACAGATGGGCAAGCCACAAAGCATGCCCATCCCACCTGCCCAGACATAACCAAATGAAACAAAAAATCAGGACAAAACAACCAAATCTACAATCAATAAATGAAGAAAATAATTCCTGAATGTCCCAAAGACAGCAGACAATTAAAAAAACAGGACAGGATGGCTCCAGAAAGTGAACAAAATAAAGTACCAGATAACCTTCTGGTAGAAGAAAAGGCAGTAGAACTACCTGATACCAAATCAAACCCACTGCCATCGAGTTGGGAATTTAAAACTCTAGTATTCAGGGCTCTCCAAGAGATGAAGGAAAACACAGACAAAAATAAGGAAAAAATAGACAAAATCATGGAAAATACAGACAAAATCAGGGAAAACACAGACAGACTACTGGAAGAATTCAAAAAAATAATACAGGAACAAAATGTCAAAATAAACAACTAGAAATCATACAAAAGCAGCAATTAGAAATCCAAAAGATTAACAACAATATTTCAGAAATGGAAAGGGCAATAAAAGGTTTTAGGAGCAAATTTGAAACAATGGAAAACAGGATCAGCAAAATTGAAGACAAATGCTTGGACACCACTTTGAGGAAAAATCAGAGAAAAGAATGAACACAAATGAAGAAACCCTGAGAACAATGTGGGATAAAATCAAAAGCAAAAATTTACATGTGATCAGAGTTCCAGAACAGGGGGAGAAAACGGAAAACAGAGAGGATCATTGAAGATTTGCTGACAGAAAACTTCCCTAATGTCATGAAAGATGAAAAGTCAACCATCTAAGAAACTCAATGAACTCCATATAGGATAGACCCCAAAAGAAAATCACCAAGATATATCATAATCACACTCGCTAAAACCAAAGACAAAGAAAGAATCCTGAGAGAGGCTCAAGAAAAACAAAAAGTAAAAGTCACAAATAAATGGGAAACAATAACACTAAGCTCTGATGACTCGGCAGAAATCATGCAGGCAAGAAGGCAATGGGATGACATATAAAAGCTTGAAAGAAAAAAACTGCCAGCCAAGAATAATATACCCTGCAAAAATCTTGCTTAAATATGAGGGTGAAATTAGGACATTTCCTGATAAACAGAAATTAAGGGAGTATGTAAAAACCAAACCAAACGTACAAAAATTATTAAAGGAAGTCCTATAGGGTCGCTATGACTCAGAATCGACTAGATGGCAACAGGTTTTGGTTAGAGAACCAACATCAAATAACAACCTGAATCTAGGACACAAGACAGCATCAGCCAGATACCAACCTAGGTAATGAACTCTCAAGGATAAAACAAAACTAAAAGATATACAACAAGGAACCAGACAGGTCAATCTGTAAAGGACAACAACGTCAGAACAATGAAAGAAGGAATAAATGGTGTAGGTATAGAACTTTCAAATGGAGAGGAAGTCAAGGCAATATCAAGTAATGAAACACTGGTTTAAACTTAGGAAGATAGGGGTAAATTTCAAGGTAACCACTAAGAAAGTTAACAAACCGAATCATCAAAATAAAGAAGAAAAACATAAAGTCTCAGTAAACACAAAATCTACAAAAGTGAAAGAAATGAAAAAAAATTCACAAATGAATTCAGCACAGGACAGTAAAAGGAACAAAGGAAACATCAGCACCACAAAAAAAAAAAAAAAAAAAAAACACTGCAAAATGACAGCAATAAACTCACACCTATCAATAATCACCCTGAACATAAATGGCTTAAATGCACCTAAAGAGAGAGTGACAGAACTGACAAAAAATCAAGACCCATAACTATGCTGTCTACAAGAGACACATCTTAGAAACAAAGACATAAATATATTAAAAATCAACGGATGGAGAAAAATATACCAAGCAAATAGCAACCAAAAAAGAGCAGGAGTGGCAATACTAATCTCAGGTAAAATAGATTTCAAAACAAAATCCACCATAAAAGACAAGGAAAAGCATTATATAATGATTAAAGGGATGCTCCACCATGAGGACATAACCAAAATAAATATCTACACACCCAATGACAGGGCTCCAAAATACATAACACAAACTCTAACATCAATGAAAAGAGAAACTGACAGTTCCACAATAACAGTAGGACACTTCAACACACCACTCTTGGTAAAGGACAGAACACCTAGAAAGAAACTTAACAATGATACAGAAGCTCTAAAGGCCAAAATCAGCCAACCTGACCTCATAGATGTATAGAACACTCCACTAACCAGCAGCAAAGAACATATTCTTTTCCAACGCACATGGAACGTTCTCCAGAATAGACCACATCTTAGGCCACAAAGCAACCCTCAACAGAATCCAAAGCATTGAGATAATACGAAGCATCTTCTCTGATCACAACAGCATAAAAGTAGAAATTAATAACAGGAAGAGCAAGGGAAAAAAATTAAATACATGGAAACTGAATGACACCCTGCTTAAAAACCACTCAGTAATAGAAGAAATCAAAGATAGAATCAAAAAATTCATAGAATAAAATGAGAATGAAAACACATCATATCAAAACCTCTGGGACACAGCAAAGGCAAGGCTCAGAGGTCAATTTACAGCAATAGATGCACACATCGAAAAAGAAAGGGACAAAATCAAAACATTAGCTACACAACTAAAACGATAGAACAGAACAGCAAAAGACGCCCACAGCCACGAGAAGAAAGGAAATAATAAAGATTAGAGCAGAAAAAAAATGAAATAGAGAATAGAAAAACAGTAGAAAGAATCAACAAAACCAAAAGTTGGTTCTTTGGAAGGATCAACAAAATCGACAAACCATTGGCCAAACTGACCCAAATAAGAAATTAAATGGGGGACATTATTAACAGACCCAACTGAGATAAAAAGTTCATAACAGAGTACTATGAAAAACTATACTCCAAAAAATTGGAAAACCTAGAGGAAATGGACAAATTTCTAGAAACATACTACCTACCTAAACTAACACAAACTGAGGTTGAAAATCTGAACAGACCCGTAACAAGAGAAGAGGCTGAAAAGGTAATTTAAAAAACTCATAACAAAAAAAAAAAAGCCCTGGCCCAGATGGCTTCACTGGAGAAATCTACCAAACACTCAGAGAAGAGCTTGCACCAGAACGAAGAAAAAGAAGGGATACTTTCGAATTCATTCTATGAAGCCAGCATAACCCTGATACCAAAACCAGGAAAAGAGATCATAAAAAAAGAAAATTACAGACCAATATCTCTCATGAATATAGATGCAAAAATTATCAATTCAATAAAATTCTAGCCAATACTGCTCTGACCAGGATCACAACAGAGGGTTCTGGATAGAGCTGGAGAAGGATGTAGAACAAAATTCTAACACACACAAAAAAAAGACGAGATTTACTGGCCTGAAAGAGACTTGAGAAACCCCAAGAGTATGGCCTCCAGACACCCTTTTAGCTCAGTGGTGAAGTCACTTCCGAGGTTCACTGTTCAGCCAGGGAGTGGACAGCC